GTTTTATGGCCTGTGATTTTACTGTTTTGATTCAGTCTCACTGCCCCCTTTTGTCACCACAGAAGCTTTTATAAACCCACTGTACAGTTCCTGCCAAGCAACAAATGGCAACAAGCTGATGACCATAGTGTTGCATTTATGATAATAATAATCTTTATTTAGCAGCTAAGGAGCAAGATATTTCATTTAGTTGGTGGTTACCAAAACAGAGCTAAAGGTAGTGTGAATATTGAATTTACACTTATTTGTGGTCACAAACACAACTCCCAATGAATCTTAATGTTGCTCTGTCTGCTGGATGTTAAAATAAATAGATAAATAGGCAACATTTTCGCCACAACAACTTTATAAGTAGGACTCACCCTCTGGGGACCCTGAATGATATTTCAGTCTGGTTCAAAGTGGAGGACCGACTGATGGCTCCCTAGAGCCATGGCTAAAGAAATCCAACATTGTATTAATTCCACACATAATCATATTTATGATGCACATTTTTGTGTAATTCCTTTTCAAACACTCCCATTCAAACCATCATTAAACTCTAGATTACATGAATGGACCCTGTTGAATGGAAAACCATTTACAAATACTTTAAGAAACTGTTGGCCCTTTGTGTGTTTGTGTCTGTGTGTGTCCATTTGTGTTTCATGTCAAGTACAGGCTCGCATTCCTGAGGTCTATACTGTAGCTGTGGCTTGCTGAATCTGGACAAAACAAAGACCAGTCTGAGTGGAGTGGATAAACTCCCTGCCTCACATACTGTGGGACAGCTCTCTGTTAAAGAACAAACAGCTAATTTCTAACACACCCCTACTGCGGGGAGATCAGATCTTGGTTGAATGGCACTTTTAGATACTTTTTGTAGTTTCATTTAGCTTTTTATGTTTCTTTCATTGCTGTATAGTTGTAGTATGGGTGGGGATTGCTGCAAAGAAAAATCTTAGTTTATCTTCCAACAGCACAGCATTTAACAATCATCTTAGTGTGTATTGACAAATAGCTTTATAGCTGAGCCTATGTGAACAGTCCCAAGGCGCTTATATCCCGCCCATCTGGTTTAGCAAGCAGTTTTAAGCAAACAGTGAGAATTATTTTAGTGTTTGACCATGGTTTAATGGTATCTGCATTCCTTCTGTGCCTGCTCTGTTCTGCACCCAAGCTCCTGCCACACTAGAGTGACATGGGTGGAGTGAAGCCAGACATTGTCAGCTCATTATCAACACCTTGTCAGCCAACTTTCTCCACTCCACAGCTCTCCCTTCCCGTGTGTGTGTGTCTGTGTGGGGTGCTGTTATTGTGTGTGGTAAGGAGACTGTGGAACGACTTCAAGTTGAAAGATGCCTCCATGCTCAGTTTCCTTGTCTGGGGATTACAGCTAGCTGCCTGAGGAAAGCTGTGCAGAGCCACACTAAAGGAAGTTCTTATAAGCAGGCATCAATCTGGTACCTTTTATCTCTTGTTACTTGTTGTCTGTCCCTGAGAAATCACTTGCTGTTTTTCACAGACACCAACAAGAACATGTAGAGACTCAGACACAGACTTTCTGCCCCTTTCTATTTCCGTTACATGAACTTCTGTTTTTTTTTTTTTTTTTTTTTTTACATTTCCTCTTTCAGATGTTGGCAGGTTGTATATGTGTGTGACTATATTGTTTGTTCGCATGTGTGTGTGTAATCTGCAAAAACGTTTCCTGCTCTCTGACAGTGCTGTGATAGGAATATCCTCCAACTGGGCCAGCGAATGGTTAAGCCTGGCCCTCCTTTCCTCTCTCTCTACCCTGACATATTTTCAGACTGTTTCACAGCACACCTCACTTTTCTGGCTCCTTATGTACTGTGCAGAAGTTGCCAGATGTGATAGCAGCTAAAAGGAGGGGATAGAAAGAGAGAGAGAGAGAAAGAGAGCGAGCGAGCGAGAGAGAAAAAGATGTGTGTACATGTATGAGAAGGGTAGTGATGAAAAGGGGGGGGGGGGGGCGGTCAGATGCCGCTTATAGCCACTGTTCGTTAGCAGTAAACAGACAGAGAAAATGTCAGCAGGAGCAATGGAGGAAATGAACAATGGAGGGGAAATGATCAGTAATCTGCAACTGTAGCTGTCAGCCTCCACTGCAACAGCCTGTCTGGATCTCATTATAGGTAAATTCATATGGCTTAGGGGACAAGGCTGAACATACATGAGGCTTTGAGGAAGCATGTGTAAGTGTGTAATTGTGTGTGTGTGAGTGTGTGCAGGAAAGCACAGATGAATGGTAAATGCTGTGAGAACAAAGACGTAATTTGCATATGTTTTGGTCCTGTGATCCTCTGCATGAGCTCCTTCCGGAAATGTGTTTGTTGTTTGTTGTCATATTTCATCTCTTTGCACTCATCTTGACATATATTCAAACCCTCGACTTTGTTCATTAGTCACTAGACAAGCCAGTTGGAATTTACATGATAATATATATATATATACAGTATTGCAGTATGCAGCGAAATGCATTGCCATCCACTAGAGATTTTCTCTTCTGCCAACTCTTCCACATTGGTGGATTGGTGGACTCTCAAATTATTTAACACTTGATGAAGGTCTACTATATTTTATATTTTTGTGTATGTGTGTATCCCTTAATGAGACCATGTAAGTGTAATGATGGTTAGGCAATGAGTATGTATAGGTCTGAGGTATATATCAATCATAAATATAAAAGGTGCTGGGCGGAGGAAAGAGCAAGGAGAGGCACAGAAAAGAAGGGAAGAAGAAGAAAGCAAAAATAGTTAAGAGTGTAAACCAGGCAGAAGTGTGTGTGTGTGTGTGTGTGTGTTAGAGAGAGCGAGAGAGAGGGAGAGAGAGTTAGAGAGAGGGAGGTCTGTGCAGGGAGACGGAGGCTTGCCGTCTGGAAAACAGCATCTATCGCTCCACTCTGCTCCTTCCCTCTTCCCTCTCGGCATCTCTCCCACGCTTTAGAGCTCAGCCTTCAGCTCTCCGGATCCTCCCATATTCTCCCGAGGTACAGCCTGTTTGTGTGTGTATACATTGAAGCCTGTGTGCGTGTGCGAGTACTTGACGCTGTGCTCAGTACTTTCCGTGTGTCTCTCTCTCTCTCTCTCTCTCTCTCTCTCTCTCTCTCTCACACACTCACTCCCTGCAGCTGAGGTGGGCGTGTGGAGCCTCTGACCCTCTCTCGCCCACTCCCTTTCTCTGTCTCTCCCTCTTTGCTGCAGCTTCAGGGGGCTATGGATGGACTGCGTTTACCTCCACTCATCGAGGAGGCTTTGGACTCTACAGGTCTGTGCAGCTGTTTTGTCAGTGTGTTTATATCTGCGATTCTGTGCAGTTGGATGCCGTGTGGATATTTTTAGCCCTGTACTACAGATCAGGTATGATCGGCAGAAAAGGTAGAGGGTCGATGGTTATCTCTGTGTTCACTCCTAAGGAGGGAGGAGTGGTGTGGTGAACTGCGGAGGCGGAGGAGCTGGAGAGGGGTGGTCAGGTGGTAGGAGGTGGGGAAATTATTGTGGAAGCCCATCTTTATTTGGAGTTGCGGTTAAGCTAACAGACTGATTGACGAGAGGGCATTATTGTCAGCTTTGGCATCTGTGGACATTTGATGGAGGCTACATGGTGCCAGGTAATAGATGTCTGGCAGCCACAGACAGGAAATAATGTACTCATTAGTCCAGGCTGTGTTAGATGTGTTGCATATGTTATTCTGAGGCTGATTGAGAATGTATATAATGTGGAGTCATGCAATGTTAGAGGTTATTTTAGTTCAGCTTTGAATGTTTCTTATACTTCATGCTTAGATTATTTTAGCTCACAAAATAATTCTTGTGGAAGACTCACTTTTCATATAGTGGTCTGCGCTGAACAGCTGCTGTTAAGCTTGTTTGGTAACTTCATACCACTGAATGTAGCTGTATGACATTTGGCACAATGCATCTTTGTTTTGCCTCATACAGAATCAGTACCGTTCAACAGATCAGGGAAGAATGTGTGGAATGTGATTTTGTGTCTGTGAATCCCAAACAAGGAAGAAGAGTGTGTTTTCTGCATGTTTTGAATGGGTGTGCAGACATAGCAGCTCTGTGTAGGAGGATGTTTATTGGTGCAGAGGGGCTCAGAGAGGACCAGGGGTCAACAACCTTTTGACCAGTGGCCAGGTTTATGGAATATCTGCTTCCTTTTCCTGTGTCCTGACTTAAAATTGAACTTCAATAACATTTGATGAATAATTTCTTATCTCTACAAATCCAGCTGTAGACTTATTAACCCACTTTGTTCTAAATTTTCACTGACTAATTTCCTTCATTACAATTATTGTGCTGAAGCCTGCGTATTGACCATCATAACACGTCTGTCCCAGTAGAAATTCTTCCTCCTTAACAATCTCGTTTCTGTTATCTTAATTCTGGGGACCTCTTTCCTTTCATCACATCCTGAGGCATGCTTTTAAAGCCTGGAAATTCAGCATCTAGTGATGGCATGTGTCTGGCTTAATGAAGCATGAATCCTGACTGATGGACTGTAATAAGGATAGACATGCAGCAAAAGAAAAGTGGATTGAGTGATGGCTAGTATTAAATTGTATCTTTTTTTGAATTATATACTTGGAGATCTACATGGATTAAAGTGCATTTATTCTTTCCTGGTTGAGTTCATTTCTAGCTAGACATCAGTCTGAGACTAAGCCACCTTTTGTTCTGAAAAACAAATGGCTTTGTTCTGAACAGTAGTTATTTGCTAGGCTTTTATTTTCAATGCTTTTTCAGTCCTGCTGGGAGTGAATATCATACTGCACTGGAAGAAATGCTTCTAAAATTACTTGCCACATCTACTATCAGGGAATGCAGATGCTCTTACACAAACACACTGATCAATAAAACACCATTAGAGGCTCATTTGACATTTGCAAGCTGTCAGTGTATCTTACAACCATCAGCCACCATATTGTTCCTCCCACTTGCATGAGTCGCCGACTATACCTCTCTCCATCCTTCTCTCTGCTTTCCCACTCGATATCTCTTCCCCCTCTTTCAATCGCAATCCTCTGCTCTCTTCAGCGCCCACACACCCTCCAACAAACACACATGCACGTGCATGCGCATGCATAGACACACAAACCTTTTCACCTGCCAGTGCCTCAGCCCACACAGCATTTCTCTCCTGTCCTCTCCTGCTTTCCCTCCACTCCTCTCCAGTGTTGTGCAGTGATACTCCCCAAGGGTGCACAAACAGGATTTCTCTCAACTCTCTGGAACTAATAAACAGCAAAGTTGCTGTCTTAGACAAACTTTGTAGATCTGGGAGCTGGAGAGACCTCTGAGAAAAAACAACAATGTGGGATTCTCACACCAGTGTTTCAGATGGCCAGTTATGGGCCTAAGTGAAAACAAATCTTGCATTCTTTTCCACCATGAGGTATCCCAGCTCCTTCTCTCTCAGCCCTGAAGCCCAAAGTGTGACATGTCTCCCTGCTAAACCCTGTCCCCATTTTCCCCATCAGACTATTAGTGCTTCATTTTAAAACAGGCTTTCAAGGCACTCTGCATGCCCCAGACAAAATTGAATGTGCCACATGGTTTTGTATTCTCTCTTGGTTGCATAATGGAAACATTCTTAAAACTTTTGAGTGAATAGAGAAGGTTCATGAACTCACATGGCTCCTTCTTGCAGCTTATTCTATGGATTAAAAAAAAACCTTGTTTCTCCCTTACAGAAGACAAATGCTTCTCAATGCTTGGCATTATCAACCTATCATTAGCGCGCCCTCCCTCTCCCTCTTTCTCTATATCCTTTTTACTTTGTGATTTAAGTGATGTTAAACCTTCCAGAGAGATGGCTTTCATGTGGGAGGCACTGATTTGTTATCAAGTGGATTATTACTGAATCACTTGTTTTCATACTTTGTTATCTTGATGGAATAGACACACAACATGCACAGGTACACACTCACCTACCATATCTACACACTGACACAGTTTTTGTGCATGCTCATCTAATGAGGCCAAATTATAGCACATTCTACAATGCATCTCTATTCCGTTGACCCACTTTCTTTTATTTCCTTTTGAAAGTGCAAACATGGATTTTCCATTTAAATAACAGAGTGGCTCATTAAGTCAGTCCAACTCTTGGGTGCTTGCGGTTGCAGTTTCTTTTCTTGTCTTCTCCTGCTGCTGTTATTCCTTAGTCTCCCTGGAGTTTTCAGGCTCAAAGTACAAAGAGAGAAAGACATAAACTCACATTAACCTCAACAGACCTCCAACACTGCAGCTCGCTTCGCATCTCAAGCGGTTGAGTCTCACACAGTTTGTCAGCAAAAGTCAGCAAATCTCATATGATGGTGCCCTCACTGAGTGGGCGTCATGAAGGGACATCCTGTAGGATTGGGCTTCTCTGTGGGGAAAAGCAAACAGAGAGGTTTCCATGGTAAGCAAAACTGTGGACAAAACCCCAGCTTTATTACCACAGTGACTTTCCATATGGTAAGCACCTGGGTTGTTGGTGTGCAGAGATCACCATGGAGATGAAGTACTGTATGGCTTTACCTGACTCCTGTTAGTTACTCCTTGCATCTCTCTTATTGTCTTCTCCTCCTTTCCTCTTTTGCTCTCACTTCTTTTTCGACTCCCCCTTGCTGCTCCGTGTTATGTGTTGCTGAGGAAGTGTTCCAGTGTAGGGGAAAAGATACAACATCAGTGCTGGGTTGGCTTCAAAGCTGGGAGAGGAGGGGGTGGTGTGCATTATGCGTGGCCTCTTACACAGCCGCAGGGATCCATGGCATATGCTCACGTACTTAACACATGCAGCACCCACATAGCTGACATGTGTGATCATATATGTGTTTATAGGGTCACCAGAAGTGGGGCTCAGAGATCATACAACATAGTGATACACAAGCCTGCATGTCTACATAGTGTACAGAGGTGTTAAACAATACATACTCATGCACACAATCATACACTTTATACACAGAAGCACAGAGAACACTTCAAACAAAAATGCCGCACACGAACCACTAACATTACCACCACCACCACCTGTCAAGCTTGGTTCAGCGCAAGGCACCCATCACACTACACCACCAGACAGCCTCCATGTCCAGTTTCAGTGAGCCATCATTTCTTTTCAGAGCTGATTTGACTGATGTTCCTCTCAATACCGTAAAAAATCTGATATTTAACTAGTAGTCACAAGGAGAGAATGTGTTGTAACAAATGTGCGTTGTAACACATTTTAAATCATATAGCACCTGATTACATAAAGCAATAAGAAAAATGAAGATCAAGATTGGAAAAAAAAAAAGTGTTACGGTAAAATAACTCCTTATGCACACATACTGTATCAGTATATTCAGTATATTACTATTTACTCTATGACAGTCCAAGACTGAGTTTCAGTTTTTGCTGCATATTTAATATACAGAACTCTAACTGCAGAATAGCGCTGTTAGTTTTATGGAGAAAGGCATTCCTTTTTGCCAAGTAGAAGCAGCTCTATGTCCCACTTCCATGCCTCTCCCAGCATGCCTCTATTTGGTAAAATCCTCACTCTGCTACTCAATTTTGCAAAGTGCAAATTTCATTACACTCCTCACTCCATTACTGAAGACCAAATCGGAAGCAAAACAAAGGGCTTGTGTTGCCACAAAAATGTTTAAACGCAATCTCAGACAGCTATTCCGAGATGCTGACAAAGAACACTCAGCCTGCTTGTTGTCTCTTTGCTAAAGCGGCACAATGTTTGCAGTGACATTCTCAATGCGTTTTGCTGCAATGTGATTACGAAGGAATGTGCTGTGGCTAGATAAAGCCATCCTCTCCCTGGAGCTGTTACACTGCTCCTGAGATGAATCTCCAGCACCGTCCCTGCTCTTGTATGCATGCAGCGTCTATGTCTAATGCAATCCCTGTGTGACTAAAGACCAGCACTGTGCCAAGGTGCATTGGAGTGATCACAGGTGTCAGTGCAGCTGATTCTGCTGCACAATGTGTTTGACATTCACTCACAAGGAGAGGTGATCAAGGAGTGAAATGATTAACAAGCTGTTGGGAAAAGCCAAGGAGGCAGACTGATGGGGACACTGGAAAGATAGTAGAAGTGACTCTGTAAATGGACTTTAGAGTTGACGGGCACAGAATGTGTTGAGAGATACAATAATATAGGAAAAGCTAATTCCTTTGCAAAGAAGCTGTCGCAGGAAGTTGACGGAAGTTGAGAAGGGTTTTCTTGCCCACTACATCTATCCACTATTAGCGGATGTCCCAAATAATTTCTCAATGCCCAACAGCAGTGTAGAAAGTGTGTATAATACTTAATTCTTGCTTTGTTTTCACTGTAATCTGATTACAGTAACACAGTTTGTAGTTTATACCCATTGGAGGACAGTCTGAATGATACATCTACAAAAGCAAAGAACTCAAATACAGCACAAATCACATGAGCCAAAGCTTTCCAAGTTATTACACCATGAGCAAGACATCCTGAAGGATTTGGATGTGAGTGGGAAGCCTTTTGTCTCTTCATGGCCTTTATCTGCCGCTGGCTATACAAGCAGCTCTCTCACTGCTCCAGCACTCTTCTTTATGACTAACTCATTACAGCGACATCAAAGTTTAATGACAAAATAGCCCAGTGATCATGAAGCCTCTCGCACTCCTCTCAGGGGCTGCATTGTTTAAATTAACAATATTATGAGACGGGAAGGAATAAGGATGCACCCTACTGCTAATGTTATACAGATATGATAAAAAATATGTATTATGTGTGCTTGGTTGTGATGGAAATAGTTACATCTAGTGAGGGGAACAACAAAGCAGAGAATTAATTAACACAAGAAATGGAAGCATCCCCTGAGCCAAGATTACACCAGTGAGCATCACTCTTAATTAGGTAGATCTTTAGTTAACGCTTTACTCCGTCCCCTGCTGCACCTCTTTTATCGTCACATCTCTCTATTCCCATCTCTCAGCAAACACCATTCCCCTCTCCATTCCTCACACTTCCTTCTGAGTTCAAACAGCAATTTTTGAGGCACTTGGAAGCCACTAGCATGAATGTGTGACGCTACTTATCCATTTATTTCTGAGATGGACATTGACCCTGTAGGGCATGTTATTGAGAAATAAAAGAGAAGTGATAGCAGGCCAGTGTGTGAGATGTAAGCTGGATTTTCTGGGGTGAATAATTGAGGCATTACCTTTTAACTGTACCTGAGAGCAAACTAAAATAACTCTGTGAATATAATCTCCATTTAAAGCTCTAGCCTTTTCTGCCCCACAGCAAATCTCATCTGACTAATGGGAAAAGACTTTTCTCCCCCGTCAAATGGGAATTTGCCGCCACATTGTTGTGCAATAAAAGATGCCTTCCAGTTTCCTAAACCTGTGCTGCGTATTGTCTTTGTGGCTCAGTAAGCAACAGCTGTTATAATGTCAAATCAAGTTTATTAGTGTAGCCCTACATGTTATACAGTGTCTCACTGGGGTTTACAGGCCTAGATAAACAACAGCTCCTGACCAAGCCCAGGCTGTCTACAACGATGAGAAAACAAAAAAACAAAACAAAACAAAAAACGTCAGACCACCATGTAATGTGACACAGTGTAATACGAGAAAGATGAGTATTTGTCACATCTCTCTTACTATGAGCGCTAGCTCATATTGTGTTATTATGAACTTTGAAGTGCATTGCTGTGTGGTGAGTCATAGTCATTGCTTCACCATTCAGCACCCCCACTCCCCTGCATTATGTCAACTAACTCACTCCACCTACTGGTCAGAATCTAAATTCACTCTGCAGATAGAGGAATGTAAAAATTTACGTAGTTTGACATTTTTAGGCATATAATCTGATGCATTCTTCCCCAGGTGAATGGATTTCTTGTTTCATTTCTAACAAAGTTTCCGCTCTAATCTCAGAGTCAGTAATTTGTATGTGTTGTGTTATATGTGTTGTGTGTGTAAGGTATAGGAGTCTAATAGAGTTTGGTGTTAAAATGACTCAGTGCCACTTTCATCACAAGATGGTGCTGTTGATTCACAAGAAAACACAATCTATGCTGTGATTAAAACGTGGCTGAATTTGGACGATGACAGAGAGGTCTGTCACCTGTAAATCTCTCTTTCTGTCTCCCTCTCTTTCCCTGTCAGGCATCACTTTCTAATATCACTGTCATGTTTCCATCAGATGACCTGTGCGATCTAAAAGCAGAGTGCAGCCCCACCATGGACAACGAGATAACAGCAAAGGAGAGAGGCATCCTGGAGGAGAACAACGAGAAGGAGGAGATGGACCAGGAGAGAGCTCAGGAGGAGGAGGGGGAAGAGAAGAAGCTGAAGGAGGAGGAAGGCGAAGGGGAGGAGAAGAGGAGGAAGGAGCAAGAGCCGCTGACAGAGGAGCAGGAGCTGGAGGAGCTGAGGGCCCAGGTGCTGCAGCTGCTGCTAGAGCTGGAAGATGCCAGAGAGACCTCCAACAAACACCAGGAGAGCTTCAGTGAGCTGCAAGGTGAGACCCCCAGCCTTCGATTGGCTTTCGCACTGATTCTGTGCACACACCATTTATTCATTATTTAATGCCTTGAATCATTAATCTTCCTTTATCACAAACTTTTATTCATTATTGATACACAGCCAACTGTCATCTGACCTGAAATTAAAATATATGACTCTGCCATTTGTCAACCTGGGTCTTGATCTCATATTTTTGTCCATTATGACTATTAGTCATGATAACATTTTACTCACCGTCTCTGCTTTGTGAATTTGTGAAATGCAGACAAAAATCACAGCAATTGGAGCACAGAGCTGAAGAAGCTACAGCACAGACTTCAAAAGAAATCATCAACATTTATGTATTTATGAGTCCAAGATAAAGTAAACCCCTGTAGCTCTTGCAGTGAACTGCATAGTGGTTTTACCACAAGTATCCACAACTAGAATCTTCGGTATCCTGTATCAATATAGTGGCAGACTCTGAAATTCAATGCAGACTGCACAGTGCGTAGCTTGTTATTTTACTTTTGCATGTGTGCAGACATTAACCATCTTCTTGTGCTTGCTGCTACTATTTCCCTGTATAAACACAAGCTAAACTGAAAGCAAGCAACAGCCTCACACTAATGTATGCAAACTGGTGTGCTTGCATAAACATGGCGGGTAAATCAATGGCAAGTTAAATGAAAACTACCAAAATGCAAGCTGACATTTGTACCTTGAGATAATTTCCTTCACCTTTAATGTTGACAGGATTTACCATTCAAAACAAACAAGCTAGTTGCAACCCATGCATATTGTTCTTGCATTTGTTTCTCAAGTCCAGGTTTCCCAGGTCTTTACAATGGAGGTGGTTGGTAAAATGTTATCTAGAACAAATAAATAATCTCAAGTGAATTGATCACTGGGTTTAAAAAACCACAACACAATTGATTTATGGCCATCTGAGTCTTTACTCTCTATGAATCAACTTCATTTATGTTGTATAATTTGTGGGAATGGATACATGTTTGGGTAATCTCAGTCTTAACTATTATTACAGCAAAATAAAATAAACATTTAATTTTGCATCTCAGTGATTTACATTTTCTCTGCTCTTCACAACCAACCACAGTAGGAAACCCCTGTCCTCTACTTGGACATCTTTACTTTCCACCTGAGACATATCCTGTTCATCACAATCCAGTTGAACTTGAAGAAGCGTAAATGTTTATATGCGGTCACTGACACGGTCACTTCTTCATAGCTGCTAAATGGAGCATCACATCATACCTTAGAAATGATGAGCTTAATGTTCAGGGACACTAGCAGTGAGTAAGGCCTTGGGAATGGGTCTACAGTGAGCTCTGTGTGTGTGTGTTTTTATGACTGTGTGTCATACTAAAAGACATGGCGTGGTGAGCTCAGTTGTTTGTCTGGCAGCAGTAGAGGCATTCTTCAGACAACTGCATGCATGCTGAGGGAAGCTTCTAGACTGGGTGTCCTAGACCACAACGCAAAATCACTATGGGTCAACTCCCATTGGGAACATTCAGCTGTTCAGGCTGGGTGGAGGTGGTGGGGGTCCCGAGTGTGTTGATTGTAGTGAGGCGTAGGTAAAGATCAAGGGTACATTTATGACTGTAGATAATTATTAATACAAACAGCCAATCATATTACACTCTCCAGTTATATACTGCTTGTAATATGACACAATCAGTTAACAGGAGATTGTGTTTGTGTGACTAAAAGCGCTGGAAATGAGACAGGAAATGAGAAATACTCAGAAATGACATTATCGTCAGCACGCTTTTTGATTTTTACATGTTATAAAGGTTAAATGCTAATGTCAGCATGCTAACATGATCACAATATCAATTTTAACATAATGATGTTAGGCTGGTATAATGTTTATTTTGTTCATGTTAGCATATTAGCATGCTAATATTTAATAATGAGCCCTAAACACAAAGTACAGATGAGGCTGATATGTGGTGCTAAACCAAAGTATCAGACTAACTAAACTTTTGACGTGATGATAGTGCTAGAAGAAAGACAGTAGACTTCATTGTCTTGGGTTCATGAATATCTGCAAAAAATTTATTGACCAAATGATATTCCATGCCACTAGTGGCATAGAAAATAGACTACATTTTAAAATATCTCTGTGGCTAGATACTGCTAAGGGTCCAGATAGAATATATTGTGTTATATATGTTTGTTGTATTGTCATTTGGATGAATTGATCCTTTAAGAATCTGCAGGGTCAAGTGCCCTTCCTCTGTATTCAACAAGCAGCTGTTGATGAAGTAGTATGAAAGCTACTAGTATATCTGCCAGATGTATGCTACAGAAATTACTTGGCAGAACTTATGGGGACCAAAAAGCAATAGAAGGTCAAAAATAGCAGCAAATCAAAAGCTGTAAAAATAGCAGGCAGTAATCTGCTTTATTTTGTTCTGCTGTACTTAAAAGGTATGAGATCCAGGAAGACAAGACTGCTTAATAAAATGTATATTTATGAATTAATATACTTAGAAATCTCATTCTAATACTGATGGTCCTGCTCACATTCAATTTAACACACGGACAGACACACACACACACACACACACACACACACACCTGCTTGTGTCACTCAATCATGCCTCAAGGTTAAAAAGCTTATCAAATTGTCATCTTTCTATTGGCCCTGCTGAAGTGACATTTTCCTCTTATCTCTCTGCCCACTTGTCCCCACTCCTCTCCTCTCCTCACCACCAGGTCTGTTGGAGGATGAGCGTCTGGCCAGTGCCCATCAGGCTGAAGCCTTTACACGCCAGATTCAGAATCTACAAGGTATCAACATAATGAAACATTCAGCAACTAAGCAATTAACCATGTGGCCAATCAACAACGGAACCAGGAAGAATAATTAGAAATCCAAATCAGATATTGCACATTACATTTCTTGTGTTTGTCAATAGTCAATGCAGATTTTACTCTGTAAGCTGCCTGTGAAGAGCAATTTGATAGCAATGACAACATTGACAGACAGTGCTACATAAAAATATTGTGATGTAATTGACAAGAATAAGTAAAATGCTTTCAAACGTTTGGCTTATTGACTTGGAGGCATTGTCTTTTTTGTTGCACAGTTATTCTTCAAAAAGCCTAAATAAAATATGTGCTCAGTCACGAGGGGTGACACAGTACAACTCATCCAAAAAAATCCCCCCCCCCCCACCAAGAACAAAAAGACAAAAGATAGAAAGGAGGAGGGAAAAAAACTATGCAGTAAAACGATCTAATAAATTATATATAAATAAATCCTTAGATGTAATGAGCCAGTAGAAAATAGAAAAATAAAGCGGGAAGACTTGTTTTTTGGTCAGTTGGGGAAAAAAAACAACAACTAATAATCTGAATCTGACCCTTAAAAAAAGTCTGTTGCCATCAGTTACATCAGCTGCTCTTTCAAACATACCCACACAAACAGCACACACACACACACACAAGCACGAGCACACCACCCACATGCACAAACACATGCAGGCCCACTGCTGCAAAACTCAGGTAAGATCATATTCACACACATACATATACACCCATACTGACACTGTATAGTCTCACCCACACATCCCCCATAAAAAAAACGAACATTCTCCTCCTCCTCTCCCCAAAGCCCAGCTGCGTTCTGTGCAGGAAGAGATGGACAGCCTGGAGGAGGAGAAGGAGAGCGAGCTGCTCGAGGCCCAAGAGGAGCTGCGTGCGGCTCAGGAGGAGGTGCTCCTGCTTCAACAGGCGGCAGAGGAGGCCGCGGCAGAGAGGGAGAATGACATAGCCTCACTGCAGGAGGAGCTGTGCCGCCGTCGGGCTGAGCTGCAGCGCCTCAGCGAGGACACCCAGGAGTATGAGCTGGAGATCACCACGCTGAGAGCCGAGATCAGCATGAAGAGCCAGCGCCGGGAGGCAGAGAGGAGAGAGGGTGAGGGGACGAGGTGCATGGAGAGGAAAGACCAGTGTAGAAACAGAGAAAAGAGAAAAACACAAAGAAGATTGGTTTTACTTACAGTACATCAAAGTTAAAATACAATAAGTCTTGGTTTTACACCTCATCTTCACACATTGTGTAAGCAGCCACCTGTGAGAAGGATACACTAAAAACCTAAAAGACCTACTGTCTTTGCTTGTACTATGAATTTTGTCCAACTTGCTACTTGCACAAATAGCCCATGATCAGTCTTTGAGGGTGAACACAAAACAAAGCATGATGTTATTCCATGCTCACATTATGTTAGCATCCCGCAGTCAAGCACATAAATCATTTGTGGGGTTTAATAAATATTACAAATGTGACTGCTGAGTGTTGCAAGGGGAGTGGTGTGTGTGTGTGTGTGTGTGCGTGTGTGTGTGTTTGTGTGTGTGTGTGTGTGTGTGTATGTGTGCAGATGTGTGTGTGTGCATTAAGGATACCAGGGACATGAAGTCATGAGGGGGAGGCACACTCACTTCTAACACATGATGTCATTGCTCGGTTCTGCAGCTGAGCCTGTGGTGGGACTGAGGGAGGAGAGTTCACATTATTTCATTGTTATGCTCTTCATGAAAACCTCACCCAAAATGTTTTTCATACACGAGGAACTCACAGTTAGTAAGGAATAGTTTGACAGTTTAGGTGTCCTGCTTTCTTGCTGACACATTGTGGTTTGACGCAGATTATTTCTTTGGCTAGGACTAGGACTTCCTGGAGTCTTGAAATAGCCCAGCACATAACCTGTGTAAAATGGCAAATAAACATTTTACACTTTTGTATGGAATAGACAAATGAGATATCATGTTTTAATTAGTGAGCATTAGTGAGGTAGCTAGTAGGTGGATTTTATTACCGTCGGACAGCGCCAGACTAGCGGTTTCACCCAGTTTCCAGTCTTTATGCTAAGCTAAGCTAACCTGGTGCTGGCTATAGCTTTATATTTAACAGGCAGGTATGAGAGTGGTATCATCAAAGTTTCTGCAACAAAGCAAAATGTCAAACTTTTCCTTTAATATATTCTACACATGTTGTAATGATGTTAAGATTAAAGCTCTACTGACCTGCATCTTACTGTAATATCTTCATCTCTGACCTTCCTTGTTCTGGCAGGTGATGTGGACCTGCTGAAGGAGGAGTGCCGTATGCTGAAGGAGGAGTGTCAGACCCTGAAGGAAGACAACAGACGACTTTCTGAGAGGCTGCAGCTGCTGCAGAGACAGAGGACATGGTGAGAGGTCAATGACTGCTAACTCATCAGCTGTGCTTGCTGGGTCAGCTGGAGGGGATACCCTCTGGAATACTACCCTTCCTCACAGCCATTCACATCATGTCCCATTTAGATTTGCCAAGTGTTTAATCAATGACGTAAAACTGTAATAGTATAACAACAAGGGATTACACATAAGTGCTGAAACCATTAGTTTGTTAATTGATTAGTAGATTGAAAATTAATAGACAATAATTGTGAGACTGAAAGTTCATTTACGACCTTGAAAACGGTCACTCCACAAGATCTATATAATAAAATTATATAGCATCACACGATCCTGTGATGTATTGAAAGCAAAATCAAATTTTTTTTACAGCACTTCACAAAACAGAAGTTGCCCAGTGCTTTACAGGAAGAAGAAAAGGGAGATAGAAGAGATGGAGAAGACAATATATACAACGGGGAGAAATAACCCACACACTAATAGTGTATAAAATCAATAAGGTAACAAATTAATTTGAAGACATGCACTGATTTAGCTTCTCTGAGACGGTTGGCTTTTTCAGAGTTGAGAAGTAACAACAACAAAGGTATGATGAACCACAACAGATAATAAATGGACTTGTTTTTCAACAACAACAATAAAAAAATGATTATTCAAATTGAATTTATCAAGCAGAAACCAAAACATTCTCTAGTTCCAGCTTCTAAAATGTGATTTGCATCTTTTTCAAATTTAATAATAGCAAAAAATCTGTTTTAGTTTTGGACTGTTGGTCAGACAAAACAAGCATGAGAAACTGCGATGGGCCTTTTTCATTGTTTTCTGACATTTAATAGACCAAAGAATTAACCGATAATAAAAATAAATAATTTTGATTAGTCTCAGTTGCAGCCCTATTACAAGGCTGGATGGATACATACTGTATAGTGGCCTGTCTGTAACAGAAACACAAGAATGTAAGCTGCCTGTTCCAATTAGCACACTTTGTGTATGCCATAAGAAAACACAAAGCAAAAAAAAAAAGCTAACTAGCTCTCTGTCACATATAAGAGCATAGTAACCATGTCTAGCCTTTGATCATGGAAACTATTAGCCCATTTGGATTTTTGAGTATTCAGATATTTCATCTGAAACTGAAACTATGTTGTATTCTTCACTGTTACTCTTTTCATCTAGCTCCAGTGTCTACCTGTCACTGAAGGAGGAAGAAGCAGGGGAGGGCACAGAGGGGAAAGATATGGAGACTGGCCCAGATGAGGTCATGACAGAGAGTTACATGACCATGGCCCAGTCTGGGAACTGTCGCCTGGTGGACGCCTCCATCCAGAAGAATATTTCATTTGATGGGAAGCCCATGACACCAACCAGCTGGAACGGAGGCATCGGGGAGGTCTTCTCCCTGAGAGACCAGCTCAAACAGGCAGAAGAGAAGGCCTCGCAGGTTCAGAGAGAGGTATGAGACCTTAGTGTCTAAGCAATGCCTTAGGAGAACTATGAATAACACATAAACAATTTAACAAATCCACAATATATGTATGTGCGTTTCAATAAGGGCAATCTGTCAGTCCACTACTGTAGGGAAAAGACTGAGAATTTGACCTCTGTGTCCTCCAGTGTGACGGTCTGAAGATGGAGCTGCAGGAGCTGCAGGTACTGTATGACAGCAGTCAGAGGGAGAGAGCAGAGCTGGAGGAGGAGCTGCTGCGCTGCAAGGCAGAGCTGGAGAAGCTGTCAGGGGAGGCTCAGGTGAGGGACAGACATGAATAACACAGTATAGTAGTATATAGCTGGTATCAGATGTCTGAATGAGAATCTTTAGGACTTTTAAGTTGTGTGGTTAGTTTTGCATTATTGACTGGAGATTTCTAGCGTCTGCAGAGCAGGTTGTGTTTTTTCACAAATCACTAATAATGTATGTGAACTTACTTTATTCTAAAAGTAGTTCTAAGAATTTCCAGCCATGATTTCTACATGATTATAGAAATATAACGCTTTTTCTTTGCACCCACACTGCCTGCTAACTAACACATAACACACATCACATCACACCTACTGTATCCTGTGTCTGTGGAGCCCACTTTTTATGTCTCATATTGTAGCAATATGTGTTTTGATATGAACTGACCTGGCCTGTCAGCCCATATCAGTATTTATGCATCAAGCAAAGAATGCCTGTTTCATCACTGAAACCTATGCAGATGTGTTAAAAATAGAAAAAGTAATTAAGGACAATTAAAGGTTTTTTTTCCTACCTTCTCTTCATTTTATTAAGGTAAAGTATGAAAGTCAATTTGCATTGAAATGAAATGTATATTTACTAGATAATTAAAACAATTGTACTTTAGTCACAGTTACTCTACTTTTGCAAAAAATAGTTGGATAGCATGGATAGTTAATTAAATTTTCATACAGTTTTAAACTGAATAGATTCCAATGACTACCTATACTAGGAATTATGCATCCAAACATGGTAATACGGTCCATCTGGTCACACCTAGACTTAACCACTGATGCAACTGAAGTTAAAGATCAAAGTTAGTCAGTTGTAAGGGCATTTTAGAAATGGATATGGTTCCAAAACATGTAAATAGGAAGGTGTCAGAAATATTTAGCTTGTTTAAGCATCAATTACAATAAATATATGTATATGTGGAAAGACTCCTGTGTTTTGTCTACAACAGCCATGATGAGGTGTCTCTACATTTTGTCAAACTGTCTACCCGTGCCTGTCTCTGATGCTGTCCTTGTTCTCTGAATGTCCATGACCTCTCAGCCTGTATGACAACAAATTTAACAAAACACAAAAACAAAAGAACTATAAAATGAGGATAGAGAGACAAAAATACCACCATAGTGTATGCTTGTCTCAACGTTCATGCTGTATGTCTTTCTTTTTTTTTGTCACCATAACATCACACACAGCCAATAAATGCCACACAGGACTGCTCACACATACTCACATTGAGTTGATGTGCATGTCACCATAAAGTTATGCATTGTTTGTTTAACGGGAAATGTAAATCACTCCATCACAACCCTCCCCTTTTTATATCACAGCCATAGACCATGTCTCACTTTTAATTTAGTGATTTGTAGTGGTGGTCCACATGTGCTGTTGTCACACAATTTTTATCTGTGTATTTATTATTTGGATTCCTCAATCCATTCATTCATTCATTCATTCCCTTCATCCCCATGGTGTTTGTGTTTGTTTTTATTCCCTCCTCAGAGATTCATCCATCCATCTGAGCACCCTGTTCTCTCCATCCCCTTCATAGGAATGATTGTAATAGTGGCTGTGATCTGGTGCTGGTTGTCGGAGTTGGCGTCCCAGAGGGCAAGGTATGGGAGGAGCTTATCTCTTTGTGATGCGTAATTCTACCTACAATTCTTATACACAGATTAAAGAGTTTGTTCACCATAAATCATAGTTTCTCACATTAGGTATCTAGCTATGCAGATAGATTTGGTTATATTTGCTCAGGTTTTGATTTATCCGTTTGTAAGAATTCTGTCTTATCCTGATACAATAGGTGAGACTTTTGTATCTGTTTACTCTGGATAATTCACAGAAACTGTTGACACATACTGTCAGCAGTTTCATAGGGAACATGCTGTCAAATGAAAGTAGTTCAAAGAAAACTGTATATTCTCCAGATTATCCAGAGTAATCAGGTCACGGTTTCTGAAAATCCATGTTGCTGGATTATTATTTTTTTATTCACCTGTGTTGTGGTTGGTTGGAGGCACAAAACCTGGGCATGGCATCTGCATGGCTCAATACCGCAAGAGGTAAGTGAGAAAATATGTTTTTGTATTAGTTGGGTGAACTGACCCTCCAATAGAAATAATTGCTCAAAATTAATTTAGAGTGGTGGAATGGGAGGGTCTAAACTGAAGGAATGCCAAATTTGAAGGAAGGTAGATAATGATATTAAGGATTTATAGTAGGTGGACGTGGGGTGAGTGGGCAGTTTGGCAAATTATAACAAAACTGTCCTTGAATGGCACTGAACAAGTCATTTACAGAAATAGTTCAACATTTTGGGGAATATGCTTATTTACTTTCTTGCCAAGAGTAAGATGAGGATACTGATACCACTATCATGTCTGTGTGTAAGATGTAAAGCTGCAGCCAGGAGACGGTTATCTTATCTTAGCATAAAGATTGGAAACAAGGGGAAACAGCTATCATGGCTCTGTCCAAAACTCAAAAATACTCCTACCAGCAACTCTGAAGCTCAGTAATTAACACATTGTGTCGTGTTTGTTTAATCTGTGCACAAAGTTTTTATGCTAAGCTAAGCATAGTAGCCTCCTGGCTCCAGCTAAATACTTAATGTACAGACGCAAGGTTGATAGCGTCTCATCTCACTCTCTGAAAGAAAGCGAATAAGTATATTTCCTAAAATGTCAAGCTATTCCTTTAAATGCCCAAAACGGTTTATCTTTGACTAATGGATAGCCGCTACTGACGACACTACTCTTTTCCTGTCTTCCCTTAGGGAAGTGAGGTAGGTTGGAACTCCATTTTGACTATCACTGCAGCCACAGCAGTGCTACTAATGATGACTAGCTTGTTGAGAGCTCTCGTCCGATGTTGATTGGATGGGCAACAACTGCACAGGGACAGACGTCTGCTTCAGACCAGCCCTCGTTCTCTCCTGCCATGTCTATAGACTGTACTGGAATTAAATGTGATAGAGCTGACAACTGCGTAGTAGAAAATGTATGGAAACTAGTGTCTCCAATGAAAAGGTACTACATGCACACACACTCTGAGAATGATGTGCTCAGAGTCATTTGAGATTGAAGACGGCTGTGATGATGAGTTGACCTGCAGAGAGCCCACATGAAGATGTGATCTCGCTCCAATAAATGTATGCTAGTGCTGTGTCCTTCCTCCTCTGTGTCTGTAAATATTATTTTTCTCTTCTTTACCTAACAATGTGATAAAATGAAGGATTTGAGTATTAATGTGCACCAAATGGTTTTCAATTTATTTAAACATTATTTATTTATTTGTTTGTTTAAATATTGTTCATCGTTGTTTCTGATAATAATGACGAACAAGGAGTCTGCACTGAAATTACTGAAATGCAGGCTACATGTGTGCATTTACATGCCCTTTAAATAATACCAGGAAGAGCAGTTTGAATTTTTTTTGTTATTGAGTTGTTGTTAATGAGTTGACCACTAATTACTACTCACATATCCCCAAATACTAAATGCAATAAATGCTATGTACTGCAAAATTGCATTAAATGTTACGAAATAGTCAACATAGCGTTACAAACTATCATGCCACTGCCACCCAACAAAAATCTGATTTCTTTCCATTGTAAACACCAAAGCCATGGTATTATAAGGAGAACAGGTTTGGATAACGAACACCTGCCATTCTAAGTTCAGCGTTAAAGGCTAATGTTTAACCTGACATCACCCCTCATGGGTGGAGCCAGCTCTTCTTCAGTGTTTTCCAGTTATGTGCTTTGTTCCAGGCTGTCACTCTGTCTTCATGGCTCTTTCTTATGTTTGCCTCTGAAATCAGACAGTTCCCATCTTCCCCTTTAATTATTGGTTAACCAAGATGCCACATATGCCATATATATATAGTAAATATATCTCAGCAACTTAATTTCTTCATCAATTTTGACTTGTGGAGTGGAGAAACCTTTTCCCTCTCCAGCAGGATTTAAATGGCTTGGTTTTTCCAAGTGTACTGTTAATTTAGATTCTTGTTGATCGCAGGTTGTTGCGAGAATGTTGACCGTCAGCATTCCCTTGTTTACTGACAACAAAAACTGCAGATCTGATTAACACCGGTTGACATCTGGTCACACCTAGACTAAACCACTGATGCAACTGAAGTTAAAGGTCAAAGTTAGTCAGTTGTAAGGGCATTTTAGAAATGGATATGGTTCCAAAACATGTAAATAGGAAGGTGTCAGAAATATTTAGCTTGTTTAAGCATCAATTACAATAAATATATGTATATGTGGAAAGACTCCACAGGATTATTGTTTACAATTGTGAAATGTTTTTTTGTGAAACTATTTTAGAACTGAAAAAAAGCATGCTAGAAAACATATAGAAGCACAATATATAATTTATGTTGATTCTGTCACTTTGTATTCCATGTAAATAGATGTGACATTAGTACTATGGGAGAGATATTTCTTAAATCCATTTGTACTAGCTTTCTAGAAAGTTTATTCTATTTTGAGAGAACATCGTATATTTGATAGCCAAATTATATACTATGTAAATGTTTATTTATGGTGATGGTATTCGGAACAACTGCTAGCAACGCTCATCATTTTCACTTCCTCTTTGTTCAAAGGTGGTGTAGTCATTGCATGCATTTAGATTACGTTTGACCTTAGTTGCCAGAAATAACAATGTGACACCTGGTTTTTCCAGTTTGTTAGATTTGAGAAATGTATTGAAATCTTTTCTGAAACATTTGTCTTTAGAAAAACAGAACCTTGATAATGCAGGAACAATGTTATTTCTGCATATGAACACTATACTAAGGAAATAATGTGCCACTGGACTGCAAATGTTGTCACTGTCTATTTAAAAAATTGTTTCAAATTAAATTCCCTTTGACTGCAATGGTACAAATGAATGTTGTCTGATTCAGAACATAATTTTTCATTATTTCTGAGTTTACTTCATGAATATAACTTTATCATAGTTTCACAAGCTTCTATCTTGCACAGTGTTTCTCAGCTTGTTGCTTTACATATTGATAGAATTGTTGTTTTCAATATAGTCGTGGCTATTTTGTTACCTGGAGGTCTATTTTGTACTGTAAATGACTTTAGAAAATAAATATACACACCCCACATGATGTCTTAGACCTTTCTTTTCTTGGGAGGTGGCCTCACGGTCACGGCCTCAGGGATTAAGGTATCGTGCAGTTCCATTCATGAACTCACGAGCAGTCAACCTGAGTGAAAACCATCTCTCTGCTGGCATCACATTACAGGGGTTGAATGGATATTAATAAACTTCACTCCAGAGACATGACATAAGCTCACAGACACGGATTCTTTACAGATGACAGGAACTGGTGTGTCAACGTTGTTGTTGATGAGGGCCTCTACACTCATTACTCTGTTGCCACAACTTATGATTGCTGAGTTTAAGTGTGTCTAATTATCTAAAAGTAGCCTGGATGTGCAGATCAAGTCATGGGAAACATTTGTCGTAAACCATCACTGGACAACCGTCTGTCACTTGAGTTTTAAGTTAAAATACCTTTCCGAGTCTAAACATATTAGCAATAATTTCTGAAGCAGGTTTCTGTCTTATTCTGCTAAAGAAATAAAAAGTGTCCTAACTGTCAAAATGTCAGATCCAAATCACCAGTGAAACATAATCAACCTTGTCCTTGGGCATATCTGTCCAGCAAATTCACCCCAAATCCCTTAAATATTTAATATATTCACCTGAGAGACTAACAGGGAAAAAGCTAATTAAAAATGGTGGAAAGCTGACTGTGAGAGCAGCCATGGGCAGTCTCTGGAGATATAATGTCAAGTGAACAGTATCCAGGTCAACAGATGTAGCTCTGTGATTTGGGTTTTGGTTTAGTTTACCATATTTTATACATCCTATCAATAGACCAAAATATTCAAAATCACATGATAAAAAGTTGTCTTGTGTTTAATAGATTAGGTCGAATCTGTGTTTAAATAATAATAAAAGATTCATAGATTTTGGTGCTTTTCTAAGCATTCATTTACACACAGTGGGGTTTACTCGAGTAAGTACATTTTTGAAGTTTTTACTTTAATTAAATATTGTTTAAATTATTCTACTTTATAAACCATAACTTTGCTACATAGCATAAGAACTAATGAAAATCGAGGGTTTTATACAAAATGTATGATCAGCTAATAAAATATGATGCATTTCAATAGATTAACTTATACCTCACAGTATATAGTGACACTGACAAGTATCAAAAGTAAGAGGACTTGTTATGCTTTAACTTTTGATTCTTTACAGTTCATTTGCTGGTAGTACCCCTTTGTAATGTTAACTACTGTAGTGTTGTTTTTTTTTTACCTTGATATATTGCTTCTTCTCTAGTAAAAGATGTGAATTACTTCTTTTACCACTGTTTAAACACTAGAACTGTGTACAGTATGATATGTAAATATGTACATAATGTAAAACAATTCTACGGATAGATGATAAATAGGGTTATTGAAATATTACCATCTCTGTCTTACAACAGGAGATAACATGACTTAGAAATACTGGTATTAAATACATGTCTCTACTTATTATTGGAGAATTTTCTGGTTCATGATGAGCATAAAATGGTCCCAATGCCACAGTCATACATTAACTAGCCAGATTGTTGTGATTTCTATGTGGAATTGCTCTCAAAAGAAATGGTTAAAAATGAACAAACAAAAAAAATCTTTACATGGTGGGAGATCAAGATGGGGACCCCTGGCTGTGTCCAGGCTGAGTATTTTAAGAATGCCTTCTGCATGTGTCACAGTTATTATTAGGCTACCTCCCACTACTTCATCAGGGATGGGGCTGGCATCTGGTATCACTGCCATGTCACTGACTGCTGAGTCACAACACTATGACAGTCCAGGAACCTACAGCAAACACAATATTTATTGGAAGTGACTCATTTTGGATATAGATGATCAAATTTACTATGTGCGCACACTGACATCTGTCCCAGTGTATTTCTATACACAGCCTCATGTTCAGTCAATGAATGCTGTCATGCTGTCACTCATCAGAGTTGGAGATGACACTAATTTGCTTTCAGTTCAAGAAGTCAGTGTGTCCATTTTTGTTTTGTAAAAGAAAAATATTCTTATGTGGTCTGGGCAGAATACAGTGACTTAAAAGGCACTAACTCTCAGTTTTTGTTGGTGACATAATTGAACACATTTCCTACTAGGCTGTACCCTATAGGCTATTTAATGGATTGGCTTGGCATCCAAATTTTCTTTAATAATAAACACACTCCCTAACCTTCCTGAGCTTATACTGACCTTTGCTTGTCTACACAGAAATGCATTTCACTCAGGGGTGACAGATAGCTTTGAAACACACGCAATGCAGTTGCTTCATCTTTACTAGGGTGACCTCATCCTTTAAAATGTTTCCCTCCTCAATGATAGAATTTAAGGTGCAAAATCCCACTTTTTGACAATTATCCTTTATAAAGAGATACCTTACTGAGAAAGGGGGACTCACTCCTTGTCTCACTTTCTTTTCTTAGTCCAATTGTTCAGCCACTTGGACCCTGAGCAACACACAAACGCAAC